CACTGAGCTCAGACCTGGACCTGGACCTGCAGCGCTGAGTCTCCCTGTTGCTGCTCTGCCTCACCTGACGGCGGAGGAACCTCGGCTGGAATGGCTTCACGCAGACCCCGCCCCTCCTCCACCTCCTCCACCTCCTCCACCTGTGCAGGTGTGTGTGGCCGCAGGAGAACCTCTGCTCCTCCTCTGGACACCGTGTCCCTCCTGTGTCCACGTCCAACAAAAGGACACCGTAGACCCCAGCGTGGACGGACCATTGTTGGCCCGCGGGGGTGTGTGTGTGTGTGTGTGTGTGTGTGTGTGTGTGTGTGTCAACACTCTCACCTCCACCCGGTGCTCAGGTGTACGGTTGCATGTGAAGCCGTGATGCCTTCAGGGTCCCTCGGTGCTGAGGCCACACGGTGGAGAGTCTTGGTACTGTTTCAGCCAGAAGATGAGCTGCAGCTGTGGTGTGAATGTTAGTGTGAACTGTTGACCCCCCCTCCACCCCCCCTCCCCCGTCTCTCTCACCCAAAATGGACAAAACATTACGTTTGATAAATTATTAAATTAAGGCATTGGTCTCCAAAGTGGGGGGCGTGGGATTCTAGCAAAGCCCACGGTTGTCAATGTTACTGTAATGGTGGGGGGGGGGGGGGGGGGGACGGTCTGTGGTCGGACGGTCTGTGGTTTGGACCCAGTTTTTGTGTCTGTGTTTACAGTGAATGAGAGGACGTTTGTCTGTGGTTTGGAAACAGGAAGTGAACAGCGATCCAGCTGGTTTCTATGGTTACAGCTGTCTGTCCCTAAAATAACCACAGAGGAGGAAGTCAACAAGTGTCTGCCTCTGTGGACAGTTGGACCCACAGCTCAGTCACGTCTGTCCTCTCAGAGCTGGACAGATTCATATTAACAAAAAAAGAAGAGTTAAGGATTTAACAGAGGTCACGACCTTTCTGTCACCGTGGTTCACATGAGACACGACCTGAAAAAAAAAAAAAGAAAAGTCTGTGTCTTTAACAGCTCCAGCTGAAGTACTGTGTACTCTGTACTCTGTACTCTGTACTGTGTACTGTGTCCTGTGTACTCTGTACTGTGTACTGTGTACTGTGTACTCTGTACTGTGTACTGTGTACTCTGTACTGTGTACTCTGTACTGTGTACTGTGTACTGTGTACTCTGTACTGTGTACTCTGTACTGTGTACTGTGTACT